GCGAATTCAGATTCCTAAGATCACATCAGCAACTCCTAAGTCTTTCATGTCGAATTTGCTAGCGAACATGCGCTTTGTAGCATTTATATCTGCCATACTTTTGCTTATTATCAACATGTCATCAACATATAAACAAACAATGACTTCATGACCTGGAGTATTTTTAATGTAAACACATTTGTCACATTCGTTGATTTTAAATCCATTTGCCAACATTGTTTGGTCAAATTTTGCATGCCATTGTTTGGGTGCTTGTTTAAGTCCATAAAGCGACTTAACAAGTTTGCACACTTTCTTTTCTTTACCAGGAACCACAAAACCCTCAGGTTGTTTCATGTAAATCTCTTGCTCCAATTCTCCATTTAGGAAAGTTGTTTTAACATCCATTTGATGGATTTCAAGACCATACACGGCCGCTAGTGCCACTAACACCCTAATAGATGTTATCCTTGTTACTGGCGAGTAAGTGTCAAAGTAATCAAGGCCTTCCTTTTGTCTATAACCTTTGACAACAAGTCTTGCCTTATATTTGTCAATAGTTCCATCAGCTTTAATTTTCCGTTTAAAGATCCATTTCGAACCTAAAGGCTTATTTCCTGGAGGAAGATCAACCAATTCCCATGTATGGTTATCCAAAATTGATTGAATCTCACTATTGATTGCCTCTTTCCAAAATGCTGAATCAGAAGACGACATAGCTGCTTTAAAAGTTTGAGGCTCATTTTCAAGCAAGAATGTCACAAAATCTGGTCCAAAGGAAGTAGATGTTCTTTGACGTTTGCTACGCCTTGGATCTTCTATACTTGGAGAATTTTCCTTTGGTTCTTCCCGAGGTCGTTTAGGTCTTTCACTTAACGACTCGCTTTCAGTTTTATACGAATAGATGCTTTCAAAGAATTCAGCATTATCTGACTCCATTACGTATTAACATGAATCTCGGGATTATCAAATTTATGAACCAAAAATCGACATGCTTTACTATTTGTAGCATATCCAATAAAAATGCAATCTACTATTTTTGGTCCAATTTTAACCCTTTTAGGTAAAGGAACCTGTACCTTTGCTAGACACCCCCACACATTGAAATATTTCAAGTTGAGTTTTCTTCCTTTCCATTTTTCATATGGAATAGATTGCGTTTTGCTGTGGGGTACTCTGCTGAGTATTCGGTTAGCTGTAAGGATAGCTTCCCCCCACAAACTCTGCGGTAATTCAGAACTTATTAATAAAGAATTAATCATTTCTTTTAATGTCCGATTTTTCCTTTCCGCAATTCCGTTGGATTGAGGTGTGTAAGGTGCAGTAGTTTGATGGATAATTCCATATTCCGAACATATTTCTACAAACGGAGATTCATATTCTCCACCTCTATCACTTCTAATCATTTTGATCTTTTTATTTAATTGATTTTCTACCTCATTCTTGTATTGCTTAAATGCTTCAATTGCTTCATCCTTACTATTAAGCAAATAAACATAGCAATATCTAGTGCAATCGTCAATAAAAGTAATAAAATACTTTTTTCTTCCTCTAGATGGTGTCGACTTCATATCGCAAATGTTAGTATGAATTAAGTTTAAAGGATTTGAATTCCTTTCAACAGACTTATAAGGATGTATTACAAACTTAGGTTCAACACATATTTGACATTTCGATTTATTACACTCGAATTTAGGCAATACTTCTAAATTAATTAACTTCCGCAAGGTTTTATAATTGACATGTCCTAAACGAATATGCCCTAAATCATTTGACTCCAATAAATAAGAAGAAGCTGAAATTTTATTCATACTGTCAACAGCCATTACATTGAGTTTGAAAAGGCCCACCGTGAGGTAGCCTTTTCCAACATACATTTCGTTCTTGCTTACAATAACTTTATCAGAAATAAATACACATTTAAATCCATTCTTTACAAGTAAAGAAGTAGAAACTAAATTCTTCCTAATAGTAGGAACATGAAGAACGTTGTTGAGCGTTAACACCTTGCCGGAAGTCATCTTCAGGAATATCTTCCCATAACCTTCAATCTTGGCTGTTGCATTATTTCCCATGGAAATTTCTTCTTCGGGACCAGCAGTAGAGTAAGTCGCAAATGCTTCTTTGACAGCACAAACATGTCGAGTGGCTCAAGAGTCAATCCACCACTCCTTCGAATTTCCAACTAGGTTGCATTCCGAAAGCATTGCGCAAAGATCATCAATGTCATTATTCTTCTCCACTATGTTGGCTTGTCCTTTCTTATTATCCTTTTTCGGGAGACGACAATCAGGGCTTTTGTGACCAACTTTTCCATAATTGTAGCAGCTGCCCTTGAATTTCTTTTTGTTCTGCTCCTTAGTTTGTCCAGAAGACCTCTTCCTCTTCTTACTTTTTGGAGCGGTCTCCTCAACGGTATTAGCTCCCATGATCGTTGAATTTCCACGAGACTTTTTCTCGGTTGTTTTGTTGTCTTCCTCGATCTTTAGACGTATCACAAGATCTTCTAACTTTATTTCTTTGCGCTTGTGCTTAAGATAGTTCTTGAAATCTTTCCACGAAGGAGGCAATTTTTCAATCATAGTAGCCACTTGAAATGCTTCATTCACGACCATACCTTCAGCAATAAGGTCGTGAAAAACAAGTTGAAGTTCCTGAACTTGGGTTCCCACAATTTTGATGTCTATCATTTTATAGTCTAGAAACTTGGCAACCACGAACTTCTTCAAGCATGCATCTTCTGTCTTGTACTTCTTCTCAAGTGCGTCCCATAATTCTTTCGAAGTATTCATTGCACTGTACACATTGTACAAGTCATCTTCTAAAGCACTTACGATATAGCCTTTGCAAAGAAAATCTGCCTGCTTCCACGCCTCAACAACCATGAACTTTTCATTGTCCGGCATGTCCGCAGCAGGCACTGGAGGCTCTTCACTAGTGAATTTCTGCATACCAAGTGTGGTAAGCCAGAAGAACACCCTTTGCTGCCATCCTTTGAAGTTGATTCCGGAAAATTTCCCCGGTTTCTCAGCCGGAGGAACAACAGTGCGGCTTGACGAGGCTATCGTCGTTGCACCAACAGTCGCAGAAGGATTTCCATTTTTATTTGCCATTTCTTACTGTCAACAACAGAAGAAATCAGTTAATGGCAAAACCAAAAAAGTAAATAATACTGTAATCAATAAACAGTACTTAATAAAAACAACTAAGGTTTTTATATACTGTTTTACAGAAAAATGATGAAGTTTTTATGTTCTTCAAATCGTTTTCTGAATTCAATACCCTGATGTAGTTTTATATCTTCAAATCAGAATAGTAAAATTCAGACAGAATACGGAATATAATAAATATAATTTCCTTAAGATTGTTATATATGTGTATTGCTCTAAATAAATTAAATAATAATCTTTCTGAAAACAGAAACAGAAAGTTAGTAGAAATTAAATTCCAAAAATAGTAAACTTCTTCAAAATAAATTCTAAAAACGGTATAGGAACAAATCGAGCCCACTGAATACACAGTGTGTCCTTAAGGAAATTATTCCCCTCAAGTACCCGAGGTTCTGGAATATATCATCCCAGGATAGAATGATTTAACTCACCGGAGTGTTGGTACCAAGAACGCCGATGAACCGCGAACCACTCGAAGGCTGCAAAACACACTGGAATTTTTGTGCAGAAGAAGAAGAAGATTCAGAAAATTTCGTAAGTAAATATTCTGGGATTTGAAGGTGTATTTATGGCCAATTTCGGTGATGTTTCTGAAAAGGTTTGCAACCTTTCAGAACAGCCATAGCTGTTGGAACAGGTGTGACACTGCCGAAGCCGAGCCGAACGAGCGACGACGACGACGGCGCGAGGCTTGCCTTCTTCTTAGCTCTTTAAGAGCTAAAAGATGAGCTTCTCTTTATATACACAAAGATTTTCTTTCCTTCTACCAATGAGGGACAAAGTGCATTAGTGAACTCATTCAAAATTTTACTTCCCTCCATTTCTTTTCCCACCATTTTCCATTCACACTTCTTTTGTTATTAAACAACAAAATCCAACAGAACTTGATCCTAGGATCTTGTTTCCCTAGGTAAAACTATAAATAGAAGGGTTAACAACCATTATAGGGATAGAAAACACTTTGTACGTAAAAGGTATATTGTTTTGCTCTCATACTTAACTATTTAGATTTTAATTTAATAGCTTCGTCATTACTTTAATTCTATTTGCACTTTTTGCTCTCGGAAAGACTGAGTTCGGAGCCAGACTTGTTATCTTCTTCAATTTCAATCTTATCTCTTTATCCTTTTTGGATCAAATCAATTCCTTGTCTATAAAGCACGTAACACTGATAAATCAAATCAAATCAAATCATTTTTGCGGGTAAACACTGATCACTCAAGAGTTTTTTTTTTTTTAATTATGCCTTCTTTTGCAGTATAAGAGGAGAATATATTCGAAGTAGCTCGTTAATCTACGTTATTACTTATAGGTTTTTCAGAAGATTAGAAAATAAAATAAATCCATTTGTTAGAAAAATGTTACTTCATCGATTGCGAATGGAAGTTATGGACTACAACAACCATTCCCTTAAGATTTTGCATTGCATGCTCAAATTCTTTCACACCCTTTTTTTGGCGTGGGATTTATATTATCATTGGACATTTTCTCTCAAAAACAATGAGAAAAAGGAAATTAAAAGTAACGTATTGATTGGACCTCTTGAAGCCAAAACAGAAGACATATGACAGAAATGAAAATTTATCATAGGGACAATGATTGACCAATATCAACTGTTACGCGGTGCCTTCTTGAGATGTCTTGGAAGGACGATGTAAGGCAAAGCAACCGACTTATGTGTGATTACTTTCTGCCAAACGAAAGCCCCCCCACACGTTAGACTAGACTGTCAGTGCATTGCGGAAAAGCCAATGTCAAGATCACAATTTGCAACGAGAGAATTGATTAAAAGCTTTCTTGTATTAACGGAGAACAATGATTTCAAGAAAGCCAACGTGGAACCGGGGGAGGAGACACCAATGCAGAGATTTGATTGAAGAAAAAAAAAAGCTTGAAATTTCACGTAGAATATGGGTTTAGAATATTGTATTTATAATATATAGTTAAGGTCCTTTTCTTAAATTCATTCTACCATGCTGTGAAGTTAAATTGAACATGGAGATTGATTGCAGGCTCATTGAGCTGTCTTGATCCAGTCAATAAATTTACCAAACATCTTGTTAGAACTTCCTCCTCCTTTGACACTAGACTTAACCTTTGCTTGAAGATCTAAAGCCCTTTCTTTAAATGCCTCATCACCAAATAACTGATCCATCTTATTCTTGATTTCTTCTTTTCCAATAATTCCAAACTCATTTTTCTTAAATCCCAGTCCTACTTTCCAAACATCACAAATGTAACTCTGGTTAAACAACTGGTCAGCAAAATAAGGCCAGCATAAGAAAGGGACTCCATTGCTCACACTCTCAACAGTTGAATTCCAACCACAATGACTTAAAAAACAAGCAATAGAAGGATGAGCTAACACTTGTTGTTGAGGTGCCCATTTTACTATATGGCCTCGATTGCTTATTCTGTCTTTGAAACCTTTCGGGTAAGCATTATCAGCAGCCTCTTCAGTCAGTAGATTTTCTCGAACAACCCACAAGAATCGTCGTTTCGACAACTCTAACCCTAGTGCCAGCTCCTGGAACTGAATTGAATCCAAGATTGTTAAGCTACCAAATGCAACGTAAATAACAGAGTTAAGTGGTTGCAAATCTAGCCATTTTAGGCAATTCGAGTCTTCGGGCCAGAAATGACCTGCTGAAGATCCGAGTCGATTGCTTGCCAAAAGTGGTCCTATTGGTAACACTTGAGGGAACATGGCAAAAGCTCCAGGCTCAAGTTCCTCTGCTGAGTTACAGATTATCCAATCTGCTGATTTTACTCTCTCATTGTTGTCTTTTACGAGCTCGATTATCAATTTTCTCATGGCTGGATCAGGAAAACAAGCCCAGGCAAAATCTGATGGGTTCATGATTGGCATGTTTGGTGATAGCTTAATCCCCTGTTTCCTCAATATTGTTCCTGGAAATTAAAGCAGATTTTGTTAGAAAGCTAAAAGATCATGCAATCTTATACTATGTTAAAGACATAATTATAATTTAAGTAGTAATTAAAGTATGCTTTTTCTTTCCGTTGGAACATTTAGATAGGATAATTTATTCTACAAGAGTCTGTTTATATGTAAGCACCAGTTACTCCCTCCGTTTCAATTTAGATGATACACTTTCTTTATTAATTCGTTCTAAAAAGAATGACACATTTCTATAATTGGAAACAATTCAACTTTAAACTTTTCATATTACCCATTTTACCCGTAATGAGAAGCTTTTATAACCATACAAATGTCATGGCCCCACAAAACTTTTACCCTTTACACAATGGCGAAGCTAGAATTTTTTCCAAGGGTGTTCAAACTTGAAAGAAGAGGGAAAAAATTTCCAAACAAAGATTGTTCAATATATGTTACATACCTCTAAAACCTAATATTTTACCTATATACACAATATAATTTGTCGACGAAGGGTGGTCAATTGACCACCCTTAACCCAACGTATTGCTTCGCCCTCTTAAGCTTTTAAGACCATAAAATTGAAAACTCTCATTCTTTTCTCTTAAACTTCGTGCCGAGTTAAACTATTTTATCTAAATTGAAACGCATGGAGTAATAAATTGTAGGTCGACTATAAGTGTAACTATTAGACCATGTGTCCACATCTAATTAACCAGCCATTCAAAATCTTAAATCATGTCGAGTGAAGCAAGATGTTCTGAATTTACAAATTTATTTAAACTATTAAGAAAATATAATTTGGGCCTAACTAAACTCCATGATCTAGCGTTCCAATATCGGGAATGTGGAGCTCTTCACTCCCCCCCACCCCCCCGATATATTGGAGTCTTGCCCCGATACCAATGTTAAAGAAATGGACTTTGAGTCTAGCTCAACTTCAAATGTTAGCTCGTATGGTAAGAATTACACAAGCCCTATTAAAGAGACCACCCATCTTATAAGTGAGTCTTCATATAAATGTAGCTGATTTATATTATTATCATCATCCACCACTGCTCTCCTACCAACTCTTAATTACTTATTTTAAGCAAAAATATGGGTTCTAAATAGGCCCTTTGAATAAGCGAGGGTTTTGTTGATAGAAAGATTTGCATGTAGCAAGAATTTTACTTTCGTCTATCCGGTTAAGCAAGCCTTGCTCGCCAGATAAAAAAGGTGAGCACCTAGTGCGAAAGGTTGTTCCTTAGGAAACTTCCACATTGTCATGCTTATTCAATAGATAGGCCTTTTTGGAAATCTTATAGTTTCTACGTAATTAAAGGTCCAGTGATATGATCAAATTCGACTAAATAAAGAAGAGCTCACCATCGCTATCTATGATTCCATCATCAATGAGTTTAGAGACACTAAATAACGAGGCTAACGTAGCTGCAGCTGCAGGCCAGAATGCCACTCTTCTAATGTTTAATTTTTCTGCTACTCCCAATGCCCATCCCATATTCTCATCAACTATAACACATGAAACTCCATTTTCATCAGACTCATTAATCATCTTAATAACTTCCTCAAGTTTCCCAGGCATCACTTCAGCAATTGCTTCTGTCAACTTTTTCAGGTCTGTTCTATCTTCTTCAGCTCCCAATCCATCTGGAATTGAGACTAAGCTTATCTTCTTCTGCACGTCTTTGTTCTCTGATAATGCCTTAATGACTCTTTTGTGATTGAATTCAGAGTTAACAAAGGTGATTTTGCAACCCTCTTTAACTAACCATAAGGAGAGCTCCATTAAAGGAAGAACATGACCTTGTGCTGGATAAGGTATAGCCACAATATGTGGAATAGGGACCATTTTTTCTTTCTTTGCTCTTTTCTTGCGAGTGATTCATATAATTAGCTTTTAAGGGGTTTATATTGTTGCGTAGCCATCCAATGCCAATGGCGGTCTTTTCGTCGAAAAATTATATTGCATATACAAGTTAAATACTTAGTAGTTTATGTGGTTATATATTATATTTTGAACACCAATAACATAGTTAAGTGAGGCAGTCCAGCGATTCAAGGTGTTCAAAGTTCTAGTGGTTTTATTTGCTAAAACTAAACGGAGACCACCATATGTGTCTATTTAATTCTTTTTCAATCTAAAAGGTTTTATAATAAAATAACACTTAAAACTTAAATTTGTGTAGAAATAAACAACTAATCTTAAAAATAATTTTTGTAACTAAAATTTATTTCATAAATAAATCTTATAATTTGAAAGTCAAGCTCTACAAAAAATTCTTCCATAAAAGCTCTCTTCAAACTACAAATCCTCTCAACGCTCTTTTTTCTCTTGTTTTATGCTTGCTTTTATTAGTAAAATTTCGAATGTTGTATTGCTGTTATTTTAATTTCGATTTATAAAATTATAGTTCTATTAAAAGATATTTTATTGTTTAGCTAAATATTGCATAGTTTGATTTAAAAAATTTGGGACATTATTCATCGACAAAAGAATTATAGACTTATTCAAAGTTTGAGTACCCTTGACGGAATTCCTAACTACGCCACTGTATATAATGGAGCTCAGGTTCAGGAAGTAGGTTTTTTAATAGAGTTTAACTTCTCTACGTACCCAAATATGCAATAGCTTTTCTTTTTTAAAAAAAAATAACAGTATCAGGTCACTTAACAATTACGCATAATTCTCCAATAAAAATTGGGATTAATAACCTAAAAATAATTAAAGAAAGTTACCTAGTACAACAGGTTAAAAACATTGATAATATACAAACCTTTACGCTATCGATGTATATAAATTGAATCTTTTTAGTATCAAGGATGTAATTGGAAACAATTAAGTTAAAGATTGTCCTTTCAGTATTTTCTAAGAAATATTAACGTTTACCTCTTGTATATTACTTGGTAAATTACCTAAACTCTTGGTTTATAAAATATTAGGTTTTTGTTTTATCTCCTGATGTTTCTTTCCCTAAATGTGAATTGGCGTAATCAGATCAGAATGCCCGCCCTTGTTTGTGCTTAGAAATAAATGTTTTTTTTTTGGTTTCTCGCCCGGTGTTCGGTATCCGCATTGGGAGCCCGACTATATCCGGATTCGCGCCGCGTAGGGCCCCATTCGGGGGGAAGCGCTCCCTACCAAGGATTTTTCCATACCCAGGGCTCGAACCCGAGACTTCTGGTTAAGGGAGGAGCAATCCCATCCACTGCACCACATCCTTTGATGGTTTAAAAATAAATGTTTGCATCGACTAAGGTGAGCAACTTCAATTTCATCGATTACTTTGTTACTTGCTATTGTTTTCTTCTTATGTAATCACTTGGACTTGCTATTATATTGTTTTCTTCTTAATTATTTAATCACTTAGAGCGTGTTCGGTACGACTACTGTCTAAGTTATTTTTCACCGCAAGTATTCTTCTATAGTTCTATATATGCTTGGTTGGAACGAGTCATATGAAATTAAAAGTTAAGATATGTCGTCCGCCAATAAGTGAGTTTCTCCTTTTGATATGTGGTCAAATACAAGATTTTTTTTTTTTTANAGATAATTTTGAATTTATGGATAAAATTTTAAAATTCGAATTTAAATTAGAAATAAAATTTATCTTTTTTTTATCATGTTATCATACTTAATTCGGTTAATGATCATATGCAATCATGTTAGGAACTTTTGTTATCTTTTCTAATTATTTATCTATTACTTCGCCTATGGCAAAAAAAAAAAAAAAATCACTCCATATAACTATAAAACTTTTCACATTTAAACCCTATAATTATAATTCTTTAAAAAAGCTGTAGATAGATTTGAATAAAGCTAATTTCTTTTAAAATAAATGTAATATATAGGGTACACGTCTATGTTTATCCAAATAACAAAAAAGAGTTTGAAAATCGAATAAAAGCTTACTTACATATATAATGAAGTAAACCTACATGTTGGAGAAAGAAACATCACAAAAATCAATCAATATTCAAAAAAAGTTATTTTTTCTTTTTGAAGAATGTTTGTTTGAAGAGTCAATTTGTTAAAATGGTCATCAAACAAATAACGAAACTTTGTCTATACAATTACTATCATTAATTTAAATTTAGCACCTTCTAAGAATTGAAGGATATGAGCTGAAACCTCTTCTTTTAGCTACAGTCAAGCCAACAATGCAAGGGTATAATATTTTTTTTTGTTGAAGAATATTAGTTTAGAATCATTAAATTATGTGAAAGGCTTTTTTTTTTCTCGAATTCAACAATAGGGATATTGATTTCTAATTGATAGTTTCTATAGCAAATTGAAGTGTAACAAAAAGTATATTTTAAAGAAAAAAAATTGGTATGACGTGAAACTTTTTTTTAAATGTAAACAACTTATTTCGAAATGGGATTATTTTTTAAAATATATAATAATTTAAAAATAAAAAGATAAGATATTTTTGAATTTTAGTAGAGAGTATTAAAATTATTATAATAGAAGTCATATCACGGATAAAATCAAGAAACAGAAATCTTGTGGAATATTTACATAAATATCTGACCAGATTTATTGTTTACTTCTTAAAGCTAATATACATAGATGATATACCGACAACACACGATTATACACATATTATATATAGATTATATATAAATTACACATCCTTCAGTTTTTCAATTTAAGTGGTTGTGTGAGCTCCTATTTAGGTTGATTAGATAAAGCCAAAAGAAAAATATGAAAGAATTTCAACCAAATATAAAATTTAAATAAAGTTCTTATATAGACAAATTCTATTAAAAAAATGTATGAAAATCTAAAAATCAGAAATAAGAGATGACAATGAATTTCTTCTTCTGTTTCATCTTTGTTGAGTATAAAAATTTTGGATGTCACGATCCAAAATCAAATAAAGGTCGTGATGGCGCCGGACACCACTGTCAGGCAAGCCAACACCAAGAAGTTAATTAAATCCTCATTTTAGTATTTTTGAAATCATATCTTTCCTTACATTAAACAATAAATATGAACTTTATTGAGTAAATAATGATGTCCTTAACAAATTTAAATACTGAATAACCCCATAGTCATCCAAGAACCCGGTGTCACAAGTGCATGAGCAATTTCTACTAAAAAATATGTAATACAATAACTGTCCGGAATACAAATTGGACAGAAAAGAAAGTACAATACTCCGAAGCAGACTCTGCTGACTGCGGGTCGTATCGAGAGATGCAGCTCACCTAAGTCTCCGTATCAACCATGCGCCCAACAAGGCCACCAGACATACATGTGCTTGTGCAACAAAAATGCACATCAAGTGTAGTATGAGTACGAAAATAACGCGTACCCAGTAAGTATCCAGTCTAACCTCGAAGAAGTAGTAACGAGAGGTCAACTTCGACACTTACTAGTGGTCCACTAATATAATCAGTCGTGGATTTATTAAAAACAGCAATAAACTCAAGGGAATCATGTAGCAAGTAAGCAATCCTTTTGATAATAAGAGATTTCCAAGTTCATATTTCCTCAATTATCAATTTATCTCAGGCGAGGGAGGCAATATCATTATTTATAATTTCAAGGCAAGCAATACAAGCATGCGCAAATCACGCCGAGGTCGTACGGCCCGATCCAACATAATATTTAAATTGTGCACTGCCAAAGGGTCGAATGACTCGAACCATAGATGCATCTATTACCCCGCTCGCGAATCATACATGCGACGTGGTCAAATATAAATAAATATATCAAACAGTCAATCAAGAATTCATCAGGGAAACAATTACCAAAGAAATGACAACTTCACTTTAACGGTCAAGAAAATGATGTTTAATTTCTTTAGAAATTCATTTACCAATTCGATATGATTTAAGCAATTTAAGTTGTCAATAAGGTTACAAATATTTCAAGTATAGCATGCTTTCGGGTCCTAGACTGACCGGACTTAAGCATTGTAACCCTCGTCACCTCGTGTGTACATAGCCCCCACAAATAGAAGCACATATTTAATTACTTCACCTATGGGGATAATTTCCTCTTACAAGGTTAGAAAGGAGACTTACCTCGCTCCGAAATTCCATAACTGGCTTCCAAGCCCTTCCGACGACTCAAATCGATGCCTAACGCTCCCAAACTAGCCAAATAATGGGCAAGCCAATGAAAATATACCCTAATACTTATAACAAATCAATTTATATAAATTCCCAACTCCGATCGAAAAGTTGACAAAATCGTCCTCGAGCCCACGTGCCCGGATTCCAAAATTTTTCGAAGATAAACTTTACCCATAATGTCACGAACTCAAATATATAATTTACTCTCAATTTCATGCCCAAATTCGTGATCAAAATCCAAAAATATCTAATTTTAGGTTTTTTGCCAAACCCCACAATTTTCACTAATTTCCATGTTCAAATCCATATATAATAATGTATTTAACTCAAAACTATTATGAACCACTTACCTCATGCTTTGTGACGAAATGGCACTCCCAAATTGCTCCCAAAATCGTCTCCCATGAAAGATTTGAGATGAAATGAGCCAAAACCCGTTTTTAAAACATATGCACTGCCCAGGGGACCTTCATCGCGAACGCGTCCATGCCCTCGCGTTCGCGAAGCCCAGCAACTCTGGCCAAGAAATTTCCTCTTCGCGAACGCGGCAACACCTCGCGTTCGCGAAGCACAACCAACTTCGCCCCAAAATTTCCTTCTTCGTGTTCGCGTTGCTCATGACGCGTTCGCGAAGCTTTCCGCTCTCACAGCTACGCGTTCGCATACCAAGCCTCGTGTTCGCGTAGGCCAACGACCTTAGGCCCAGCCTCACCTCCTTCAACGCGTTCACGACCGACCCTTCGCGTTCACGTAGTTTCCTCAAGCGACCCCTCCGTGTTCGCGAAGGCC